TGGACGTATAGAGAGATGTCCCATGTTACAACATACACACATTATTCTTTATTCCAGGAAAAAAAGATGCCCCCACCCGCCTAAAAAAAAAAACAAAAAACCTTCAATCTGGAGGAACAAAAAAGCAAGATGAGAAAAGCATTTATCTTGGCAGTAATATTAGAAAATTATATTCCAGAAGAGGTTTGTTCACATCTCCTTTCATATTACAAATGAAAGAATGAGATATTTTGCCAGAACTCCCCAAACATTTAAAGGTATTTATGTCTCCACTGTAAATTCAGGAGAGAGGTTGGTATAAAACAGTACTGTCTAAAAGAACTATAATGTAAGATGTATATGTAATTTGAAAATTTCTAGTGGCCATATTTTTAAAAAAGTGATATTAGTTTTAATATTTAATTTAACCTACTCAATATATCCTGAATATTATCATTTAAAAATATAATCAGTATAAAAATTATTAGTGACATATTTTATTCTTTTTTCATACTAACTCTTCAAAATCTGGAATATATTCTATACTCACGGCACATCACAAATTCAACTAAGTACATTTTAAGTGCTCAATCGTTCTATGTGGCTTGTTGGTATCATACTGGACAGAACTGTTCTATACTATAGAGCTTTCATTTCTATGACATTAAAATGATAGATAGTTGCACTGGAACTTTTTCAGTGGAAAGTTCGTTATAGTTAATTTTATTATAGAACCAAAAATGATGTATATTTTAAGAGTATGGAGCGTACTCTTTTTATAAAAAGGTCTAAATCTTTGTGCCTTTTATTATAAGCAGTATCAAGTTTTCAGTTAATATGCTTCCAAATGTGAGGGTCCTTAGTCTATTAAAAATGCTGTCCTCTGTTTAGCAGGAGCCTCAGAAGATAGGACTGCATTGCAATTTCTTGTTTTTATACCTACCAGTTTACACACAGGAAAACATGCGACTGCCACAACACACTGGGTTATATTTACATGACGCTGATCTCTTTCATTCATAAAGATCATTATGGATACACGATCAACATAATTTCTTATGACTTAAATAAATGTTTCTTTTTTAATATTCTACATATAACATTTCGATTATAGTAAGCCTATTATGTTGACATACTAAGGAAATGTGCCTATATAAACATGCAGTCTATATAAAGATTTCCTTCTGGTAAGATTCTGTAGCAGAAAACCAAATTGTTACTGTTTTGGAGGCAATCTGAAGTCTCGTGTTGCCCCCGGCATGGGGCAGGGGAGGGATAAAACGCAGAAGTGCGATGAGCATTTTTCCTGTTCTCCGCTGACACTGACACAGCAAAGAATTACAGGTCAGTGAGATTTAGAAAAAGATTTATTGAAGGATATTTTAGAAAGAGATGGGCTACTCTAAAGAAGGCTGCAGCCCTTGGAATTTGGGAGGTGAAAAGATAAGATAGAGTACGCTCCAATGGAGGGATGGGTTCTCAGTGAAGAGGGCTGTAACAACACAGAAGTGGGAAGGTCTGTATTATACTGGGGCTACGATAGGTGGTTACAAAGCTGTTCCCAGGTGATTGGCAGTGAGGTCATTTTGACTGACACTAGGCTGCTATAATACGCTTTGTCTAGTGCGCATGTGCTTACCCAGAATTCAGTCTAGATTCATGAACCTCTCGGCATAAACGTGGTATTATATAATGATGGTATAATGAGGCTGAAGTTGTAGGCAGGTTAGGGTTGTACCTTCTACGTAAGGGTCTGTGGCTGGATTAAACCAGCTTTAGGTTATGGCCCTCCCATCTTTTGTCTCCAGGAATGCAGGAGGGATTCTTTAACTACCAATGGGGTGATCTAAGGTGGTTTCTGGGATGGGCCTCCATTCTTTTATTCCCCTGTCACTCATGTCTGACTAGCTACCTAACAAAATCATGACATTAATTTCCTACCCAATGACTGGAAATGATGAACCTTATAATAGCTTCAAAGAAAGAACCTATATAGCACAGGGAGGTTTCCAAAGTTCATCTTCTCTTGGCCTGTTACGCTGAGAAGCTGAAAATCAGTACACAATAAAAACACACAATATATGTATGTAACTTTATTTTCTTCAAATAGAATAAGGTTTCACATGGTTTTCATACTTCTGGAAATAGCTTCAAAAGATTTTTCTACTCTAGAGTTTCTTTTTAATAATTAAATAAGTGCTAACTGATAGAAGGTTTAAGTGTAAAGAACTCCTGAAAATTAATAATTAAAAACAATACAATTTAAAAAAGATAAAAGATATGAAGAGGGATTTCCAGCAATAAGAATTCCCATAATAAAAAATGTTCAACTTATTAGTAACCCAATATGTGCAAAATGAAACGAGATACCATTTTACACTCAGCTTGGCAAAAATTTGAGTCTGACAATCCCATAAGTTGGTAAGGATCTAGAGTACTGGACATTTTAATATACAGGTGGGAGTGTAAGTTGGTACCATTACTCTGGAAAACAATTTGGCCTTATCTATTTAAGTTGATGATATGCTTTATTGTATGACACAGCAATTCTATTCAAGGTATACATCTGCTCTTGTGTATGTGCACTAGAAATCACATAAAGGAATGAATGTTCATAGCAACACTTCCTTCCTTCCTTCTCTCCCACTTT